GCACAGGGTAAGAGATCAAGAGAAAGGCCATGTTGTAAGCTGAGAAGAGTCACAGAGAATGATGTAAAGAAAAGTGGAGAATAAAGAATAATATCAAGAGGCAAACCCAGGATAGGGAAAGGTGGAAAGTGACTCTAATGGTACGTCCTGTTTTACAATCGTATCCATACGACGAGGGGAACTCTGTGCCATCACTTTCCAAAGAGGAAGTTAACTCGTTAATCCGATCCGTACGCTTTGCACAGCAGTGTGTCAAAATGATTTTTTGAGAAATACTGAAAATTTCAAAGAGATTTTTGTACTAGAAGTATTCTAAAATGTGAAGAATACAACCCCAGGGATACAAAATGACCCCAGGGCGTACGGAAAGGGTTAATGGCCTGTACAATGATGCAGGGTGAGAAAGGCAGGGACAGTGATTTATAATTTAAAATAGTCTGTCTTGGCAGTGACAAAAACACTACCGGAAACTATCAAGTGGACACATATTATGCATAGCCACATACAGAAGAAAAAAAAAAGATTATAAAATAAATCAAACAACATTAACATCTTTGATATATACCTTTTTTTTTATTTCGTGATAAATCAACCAAAGCAAACACATCAGGACTCACACCTTAAAAACAGGTCAACAATCCAATCATATTCCCTTGGCTCATTCATGTGATGAGCAGAAGGAACTTTGAAGGAGCCCAAGAAGCAAAGTAATATGTGGGACTTGCAGACAAAATGAGTTACTTCTCGCACTTCACAAATGGAGATATCGTCAGAAAATCAGCAACAGAGTAAATTTGAAGACTTTCAACTGATGTCATTTTCTTCAAATTTTTCATGTCTTTTATCATTTCCAACTAATAAATCGTAAAATCTCAGTCTATAAATTCAATATATCTATTTCTACAGGGCTAAAATATGAGAGGTAACTCATTTTCTTAGCACGTCTCACATATAAGGACAAAAGCATTACATGTATTATTAGATTGGGAACAAGGTAACAACTAGTATGAGAGCTGTGGAAAGGCCTATCACATAGGGTCGGGTTAAACAAAGGACTACACTTTCCATCTCAGAGTCAAAGAACCAAAATCTCTTTCTTGATGCTGTCGAGATGAAATTCCAAGTGTGGCTTTCTTTAATGTGGATGTATATTTAAAAAGGACGAAACAGTTTTTGGGACTTGGTCGAACGGGCAGAGGGAAACTTTCGGAGCAGATGATACGACTAAATCAGAATGAATAAAATTTCAATATACGTAGATCTATATAATAAATGTATTAAATTCATTCAAATGTTTGGAACAAACGTTAAATAGCATACTGGTAAAAGTATTTCAATCAAGGAACTTAGATATTTCTTTAAATTGCCAACTCTTCATTTATTAGAAAGAATTATGAACAGCATAAGATAAAAATTTTCAAATTAAAAGTCAGTCTTTTTTGTCACAACAAAAAATTCTTTATTTATCAAATTATGCAGTGATTTCTGTCACATCATTTCACAGATTCACATTTTTTGCAACTAACATTAAATATAGTTTTTAACAAAAAGTACACACATTAATCTATTATAATTTGGGGTAAAAACAAGGGATGGAAAGGGAAAAAAAAATCATGGGATAAATACTGGCTCCACTGTCCTCTTACACTAAATCAAAGCTGAAAAAAATTCTAGCATTGGAAAAAATCCCACCACAGAAAAAAAAAAGAAAAGAAGATCAGTGCAAACCTACACACTCACAAAGGAAAAAACCCCCCACTAAGTCTGAAGAAAGATATCTAATACCTTAAATGTATCTAATGTGAGACCAAAACAAACCAAAAGGAAAAAAAACCCCTTAAAGACGAGCGAGTCTCTTCCTCATTTAACAAGGCAATTCCTCTGACAAAATACTACAATTATTATGGCAGACAACAAAGAACAAGATCACTTCACTGCGACAGATTCATTTTGCCAAAAGAGTGACAATGCGTTGAGCAAATCTATGGCATACAAGCAGCAAGTTTCCTGAGAGCTAGTCAACGTGAAGGCACTGCTGGGGGACTGTGTTAGAACATAAAGTGATCAGAAAGCCATTTTGACAGTAATATCAGAGGTGAACAGTATCGACTAATTGCACACTATTGAAACAGATCAGCACCAATTTTTTTGTAAGTATAACAGCAATCTATTTTTTGTGTGAAATGTCTCTATAAAGCCACTAAAATCCAGCCACTCACATTTCCCATGATAATGATGATTCCACAATAGGTGAACACCACATTTTTTCCTATCATTTAGAGATGCCAAAAGCAGCAAATGATAGCAAGACCCTTTGTAGCTTTAGTTACAATTTTTTAAAAAACCAAATAAACACTTTTTAAAAAAGGGAATATCGTCACCGGAGTAGACAAAAATACAATTTTACAGAAGGAAAAAACTTTGTTAATTCATCTAACAATGTTTGTTAACAATTAAGTCAGTATGTTGCACTAGTGATGTTTATTGAGCTACGTGTCTAAAAATTCGACACAACATCTGCAACGTTATATATATTTAGCAGAAAAAAACGGGGAAAAACGTGTTTTTTGACATAGTACGGTTTACAGGGTTGTTGTTTTCAGGCGACGATATCTTCTTTTTAAGAACTCACATCAACATCTGCTCAACCTCACAAAAGTACAAAATTACGTTGTAGTCGTGTTGTGAAAGACAATGTATCTTTGGGAAATCTGCATAATGCCGTAACATAAAATGCTCCGAAATAAACAAGGAAATGCCCCAATTCATAAAACGTGGCTGTACTGAACAGACAAATCGACCGGTCTTCATTCTGGAAATTCAGTATCAGACTTACCATTACAATACCTGTCCAACATCAGTGAAAGTGAGAAAAAAAAAGTGTGCAGGTGGTACCTACGAATAAAACTTCTTTCATTCTTTTTTAATTTCAGTAAATTTCAGCCCCATAAAAGTTAAAAATACGTAAAAACAGACACATCGTACTTTTCATACAAAAACAATCTTCCAAGTATACACTGTAGGGGTGGGGCTGTCACGTTCAAAGAGGAAAACTGAAAATTCAGATGTAACATAGAGACAACAAAATCAGGAAAATTACCCAAAAACTTTACATAGTTGATAGAACCACTTCGGGAACGTAAGACACAACTAAAACAATGAAATATTTATACAAGTTTGAAGTTAGTCTGTCTCTAGAACTAATGTGCTTTTTCAGTTCAATCTGTAATGGAAACAAAAAAAACCAAGAGCCGACTGTAGGCAAAATACTGCTATGGAGAACATTAGCACACTGGTTGCAAGACATATCTAGAACAAGGAAATAACAACCGACATTGCATACAGATATAACCAGTTTCATCCTCATAAAAATCAACAAAAACATCCACGGGGGACCATACAATGAGCAATCATGCAAATTAAAAGAGATATGAATCCGATTATAAGGTCACATTATATATATATATATATATATATATTATATATATATATATATATGACCAAATGATATACCTTTAAACTGAAGGAGAAAAGGCCAATAGCTTGACATTACATCCAAAGTAAAGAAAATGTAAATATAAAACCTTTAATTAAGCATTTTCTGATGATGGACAGAAATAGTTGTCAATAAAGTTGTCCCTTTAAATAAAAATGGGACAAGGAACCACACCACTTTCATATATTTTATACACAACTGATCACTGATTTCATGTAAGAATGGTATGCAGAATTATGGCACAATCAAACACAATTTACTATATATATTATAAGACAAAAAAACAAAACAAGCATTCTCTTCCTGTTACTATCAATCTAGTAATTATCTACCAAATGCTGATACAACACATATATATGTGAGGCATTGTGGTTAAATCAGGCACTTGTCAAAATAATAGAATTGAAGAAACCACCATTTTTCCGTCTGCTTGGCAAATTTTATCAACTTTTTGGGGTTTTTTGGCTTTCCACCTTTCATCTCGATTTAAAAACACATTTCCCTGTTAAAAAAAACATAGACTATAGGCACAAAAGAAAGCGAAATTTCAGCTTCCAAGGACTCTCAAACTTAAGATCCAGCAAACTTTGGCGGCCATTTTCTCACTAATTTTACCTATGAAACCAGGCAACCCCCCTCCCCCCTCTCCTTCAATCGCAAATATCTCGACTTCTATTCATGATAGATGAGTATTTTTCCCCATCGAAAGCAACGCAAATGAACA